GCAGAGGTGAATGCCCGTGAGCCGTATGTGATGGTAGTGCTTTTCGGAACTTTTAGAAGATTCTTAGAAGCGGATCGGAGAGAGCGTGTTTGCGTGTAAGGAGTCAGGAGTTCAGTGATGTATTCTGGAGCGAGATCGTTCATTGCCTTGTATGTAATAATAACATTGCCTTGTATAATAATAATAATAATAATAATAATAGACTTACTATGTCTATTTGAACAAAAGAACATTTATTTAATGAGAAATTTAAGAAAGTTGAAACTGCAACAAAAAGAAAAGTCATTGAAATAGTTAAAAAAAAAAAAAAAAACCACAAAAAACGTAAAGCAAGTGAGACTTGAACTATGGCAGCAATGGTAATAGTGATGGTACATCTTTACTCATAACCACTGCGCGCCAAATGAGCTGACCTTGCATAGGAAAGTAAATTTTGAGTTCATAGCAATTCAATGACTGAATACAAAAATTGTCCATGCATATCTCGGTAGTTTTGAGTTTAACCAAGCTGTAACTCATTTAAGCGCTTTAGAAAACGCAAATTGCGTATCACCCACTATCTATTTTGACCTTTTCGCGGGCTGTGTTTTTTTTTCCATATTTTGACCTTTTCGCAGGCTGTGTTTTTTTTTTTTTTAGTTCGAACGAATGGCGGCAGCGATGGAAAACGTATCAACATTACCACCATTTGTTAATAGGCCTAGACCTAAAGTCAAAAGAAATATCGCTAAATTTCACATGTCCTGATGTAGAAACAATCACGAGGCTTCGTAAAATACGCCGGCAGCGAATCATTATGATGCTTGTCGCACTAATTGCCTCTAACAACAATGGTGAGCTACCGGCCGGCGGCCCGACTGCGCCTAGTTAGCTAGCCTAGGCCTATCTTTCTCGCCAGCTCGACTACAGCAAGCGAGCTAGGAGTTGAATTCGTTTTACTCTCCGAAGGTTAAGGACCATGGAATAATTATAATCTTGTTAATTCGGTACCAGGCCTAGTTTAGTAGTTGATATGTAATTCGGACAACCTACAACTAGGCCTACTACTAGTACAGTACTAACCTAGTCATTATTCTTCCGAGTTTTCCCGGATTTCTCATGGTTTGAAAGTGCATGTGTGAAACGAACCAAACATCTCGGAATATCAAACTTGTTACAACTTGTTAACAATTGTTAAAAGTTGTAATATTTCTGCTAGTGTGAAATGGGTATAAGACTATTAATATCTTAAAGACTTAAATCATTTGACCATTCACCTGCTCTGGAATTAAATTTTATTGGATTTTCTTATAATGTTGCTTGTATAAAATAGTAACTATTGTAGATTGATTTAATCTGAATATGTTTGTACTTTTTATAATATTTGAATGTTTCTATTATGATTTTATCGATTTTATCAATTGTATAGCTGTGATTTTATATTGTATTTTTGTATGCTCCCTGTTATTGGCGTTTTCGCTGTTGGGTGGGTGGGGGTGTGAAATGAAATAAAATAAAAACAAACTAGAAATAAAATAATGTAATAATCATCTGCAAACAAGAAAATAGGAACGGCGAGGAACACGAGAGAAATCATTGATGAACATAATAAATAATAAAGGCCCTAAAATTAACCCCTGTGGTACACCAGGTAAAACTGGAAGCCAATTAGCTGTTTCACCATCAATAGGTAACCCTCTGTGACCGATCATTTAAGTAACTTGTAAAAAATTTAAAAAAATAGTTATTATAATTATCAAAATGTGTTTAGTTTGTATAAGAGAAGATTGTGTGAAACCCTATAAAATTCATGCTTTGGCCATGTCAGATGAATGACCTCACACTGACTTTTTAGATAATAGCATAAATGTGCATGTTCCAAAAGAACTTATAAATTGGTTTCACACGACCTTCCATGCTGATTGTCACTAAATAACAGGTAAAATGTGTTTACATTTTTGATGGTGTACGAGTTTTTCAAATATTCTTGGATATTGTGGGTAAAAGTGGTACTTGCCTGTAATTATGTACATCCGATTTCAGAGCTAAAGTTACTTATTTCATCATTTCCACACGCCTTCTGTGGGCCAAATTCGTTAAGGTGGTTTTGTATACATTCTTGTTTAAATTCAAAATTAGGTAAAGTAGTTAATGGATCATCAGGAAGAGGGGGGTAATTTAAATTGTTGTTGGAATGGCAATAAAATGAATAGAAATATTAATTAATTTTTTTGGACTTTTAATAAATATGCGGAACGGCCATTAAAATTCAGTTCTGATGGTATATTGTTATTCTTTTTATATAAAGACTAGATCCACGACCAGAACGGTTTAGGATTACAACTTAAATTATTACATAACAAATTAACATGGGAACGATACTTAAATCTACAAAGTAAACATGTGACAATATAATTCTGATTTGTAGGTTTTTATTTTTTTTTAGGCTACGTGCGTTTATTTGTATTCATAATGTTTCAAATAAGTCACAGAAAATAATAACATCATTTTTAAAATTATAATGATGATCAATATATCCCGACAATCTGTTAGACAACTAAATATATATACATATAAATTATATAATAAATATCAAGCTTATATCATAAAATAACAAATGATAGGCATACGTATACAGTAATTTATTAAACGTGTGTACATTTGTAAATAGGCCTATTAATTATATTAACAATATTTTAATTAATGTATAATGTCGGAGTTACCTTCAACCTAGCCAACCATAGCAAAAAGGTACGGTACACTTTCTCTATTCCTCTGTATATAAATGGAGAACGTCAGTCTGCACCGCATAATAGTATAATTACTTGACATTGCATAACTATATACCAGGTACATTTTTTTAGATTGGCTTCTTTCGAGATTACCGTACTTTTGCAAGCTAAATATTGTGGGTTTCCTTTGGAGATGGACTTAATCTTGAGATTAAGCCACTGCGATTCTATTCGAGGTATCTTTCCTGCCAGAGGCAACGATATCAAACCAAATTAAAGAGGAATATCAAAGGCTGAAGTTTCTTATTTACCCAAGCAGTAAGCAATGTTTGATATCTTAAGACATCGTTTAATGATAAATTAATTCGTTGCACATGGTTGTCAATTTTTGTTACAGAATTTGTGAGAAGATCGTTTTATCAACTTATTTGATTACACCAGGGAGTTGTTGATTATACTTCAGGTAATTATAAATATAAAGACAAATGTCTCGTATCTCTACATGGTTCAATTTTAATAACCTTTTATTATTAATATTTGATAAACATGTTCCTACAACTAATGTTAAATCCAGGAAACAAGCTCCCTGGATAAATAATGATGTTCTTAAATCATGTAGGAAGAAAAAGAAACTGTATAAAAGCAAAGAAGTCTCCACGCAATAAGCACCTTATTAACAGTTTAAATATGTCAGAAGTCATACTAAATATGTTATTAATAGGTCATACTCTAATTATGTTAAACAGATTTGGTAA